TAATTTATTAGCTAGAGAATGGTCTTTAGGAGAGGGTAGCTAGATAGTTCCGTTAGAGTACGGCAGTATGAAAATTGAATAAAAGTATGAATGGCCCTTCGCTCATTTTCAACTTCTATTCAATTTTCATACTGCCGTACTCTAACGGAACTATCTACCTAGCCTCTCCTAAAGACCATTCTCTAGCTGATAAATTATCACACTAAAGCTTCATGTTAGATAGCATTTCCAACCAACTCAACGAAAACCTTCTGGGCGAGAAAGGCATGTGAAGATTTTTAGAATTTCAAATAGAAATTTTCCCAAATTAGGTATCACAAATCGAGCAATAATTTTTCAAAATTTCAAGCGTATCTTTGAAAGCTTGATTCTTCCTGGAATATTTTTAAGGATTTGATTGGGAATTATTTCATGGATTCCGTTATGTTCAAACCTGTTATTATAAAAATCCAATAATTTTGCTAATATAACCACTGGCAGCTCTGCCAGAAAAAAGATTTTATTTTGCCGGGGAAAATCTCATTGATACAACATATTAGAAATTAGCTTCGTTGAGATACATAGGTTGGGGCCTCAACCAAAAGTAACCAATAGCAATTTCTTTCGTGTTTTTGGATAATTATAGCTGAACAACGACTATACCAGTGTTTGTACAATGAGATCCATTTAAGGCGGGGAATTCTGAGGATATTGCCAAGAAGTTCATTGGAGAAAAATAATCCAGTGCATAATTTCATGAGAATTTTCGGAGAATACTTAGGGGATATGCTAAAAAAATTATTAATTAAATCTGAGAATAATTTCAGGATCACTTGGAACTCCAAGTGAATTCAACGAAAATTCTGAAAATACAGCCAAGATTCCTATAGTATGGATTTGTTCTTGCCGGATTCCTATAGTATGGGTGCCACTGGATTCCTATAATACGTTCGATCCGACATTAACGAATACACGTAAACCATATGGGATTTGAGCTAATTGAGACCAAACCAAGGGATAGTTCACTTCGCACACCAATCTTGGGTAAACTTTTTTCTCAGAGTGCCGCAAGTGTGCCGAGTGTGCCGGTAGTGCCGGTAATAGAGCAAGCTGCGATTTTTTTTGAAAAATACGAATATGATGGTATATTTAGCCGCCGTCCATAAGATAATAAATTTTTCATGAAACTGATCCTAGAGCTCCGCGGTTTTTTCGAAACCACTCATAAACGTCTTATCACAATGAATTCGGAATTGTGACCAGAAAATGAACACAGGAGACTACGGGATGGTCCACTAAAAGATCTGGAACATCCGTAAAAGTGATCAATTTATGTAAGTGATTAGACATCTTATCAGAATGACTTCGGAGTTGTGTTCGGAATATGGACTCTGGGAACTACATGATGGTCCTCCGGAAGATCCGGAACATCCGTACATGTGGTCATTTAATGAAACCGATCCTAGAACTCCGCATTTTTTTCGAAACCACTCATAGACGTATTATCAGAATGAATTCGGAGTTTTGACCGGAACATGGACTCTGGGGGGACTACGGGATGGTCCTCCGGAAAATCCGGAACATCCATAAAAGCGGTCAATTCATGTAAGTGATTCTTGAGCTCCGCGTTTTTCTTCGAAACCGCTCTTAGACATCTTATCAGAATGACTTCGGAGTTGTGTTCGGAATATGGACTCTGGAAACTGCGGGATGGTCCATCAGAAGGTCCGCAACATCCGTAAAAGTGGTCAATTCTTGCAACCGATCCTAGAACTCCGCGGTTTTGCCGAAACCACTCATAGACGTCTTATCAGAATGAATTCTGAGTTGTGTTTGGAATATGGACTCTGGGGACTACACGATGGTCTTCCGGAAGACGGATTCTAGAACTCCACGATTTTTAAAACCATACATAGACGTCTTTTTACAATGATTTCGGAGTTGTGCTCGGGTTATGAACCCAGTGTATCATGGAATAGACCTCTGAAAGATCCGGAACATCCGTAAAAGTGGTCGCTCATAGACTTCTCATCAGAATCAATTAGGAGTTTAGACCGGAATATGGAATTTTTGTAAGTGAAAGTAACCTCGGAATGGACGTGAGTAACCAGGCATTCTGCAATGGGATCAGTATAAGATAATAATAGATTAGGTTGCAAACATTTTTCTTCCATAAAAACACTGCCGGACAGTGGAAGTTGGATTGTATATACATACATACAATATGGAATTTTTGTAAACCACTTATGGTTACTATTTCACACGCTAAAAAAATTACCAAATTCTCCAAAAAGTGCACAACCCGATGGTCCCTTCAATATCGAGATGTATATAGGTAGAAAGGGTTCCCTGCACCTTTCTAAGTAGATATTTAATAAATTTTCCATCCGATCCACTGCGATTGTAAAGACGTTGCTAGGTATATAATGCTATGTTGAATTTTGTTATTCAAAAATCAAAAAAATATTTGCAAAACATGAGTACCTCGCTTCTATGTAGTGTGTACAATTGGTTTAAACAAATCGACAAAATTTGGTAACGTGGACACTAAAACAAGGTATCGTAAAACGGAGTATCTTGATAATGCGGGTAACTTTAATAGTAGAATATAATGATCAAATTTACCTTCTTCACTATTTCCCAATTGGAAAAATTGGTTCAATTTTGTAGGTTACGGTATTACCAACCGGTGGAAACTAATGATTTTAAATTGGCTCACTACTTGACTAGCCTATGGTCCTTTGCTTGGGACGATTAACGTACCCTATTCTAGTCGAAATTCTAGTACTACACTACAGCTCTTCCAGAAGGTTCCTCCGTCGAAATTATTATTCAATCGGCAATGTCCAGTCCTGAACCTCGATAGGGCCTTCTGATCTAGCAGATACCGGAGGTCGGTCCATCGCTCCGTACTTCCTTTAATCTTCCGGATGAATGGTCCTCTGGTCCTAAGCCATTGGTCACTCCACGTTTTTCGAATGAATGACTTTACCCATCGTTTGATATCCTGCAGCGGAACTTGATCCGTGAACCTGGGCCCGGATCGTCCAGATCCAGCGAGATGGTCGGCTGTAATATTGCCGGATATTCCACAGTGGCCCGGGATCCAAGTAAAGACGGTGCTGCTTGGGGTATACTTCACGGTGGCCTGAATCTACGGGTGCATTGGAGCTGTGGAGCTGAGCTCTTGAATGGCGCTGAAAGAATCCGTCAGGATCAGTACTGGCTGGTTTGCTGGTGTCGTGGCCGCCAGGCAAATTGCGGCCCCTTTGGTCGAGAAGACGGAGCACTGTGGCGGTAGACTGCTGCTTGTTTATGTGCCACCTCTTGAAACTCCTATACCGAGGCCCGAACTGGACCGTGAACCATCCGTGTACCGGTGTGCGTATTCTGCGTAGTCGGCTCCGAGAATTTCTGCTACAGACCGGCGCAAGTTTAGGGTCTAGAAAGAGTCAACTCTTCTCTCCATGCCAATGAACCCTAGCCACCGGGGGAAGTCAGCGTTGGCGACCGTTTGCAGGATTCTATTCCCCTCATCGAGGAGAAAAATCCTCCCATTACCTGAAGTCTTGGCGGTGAAAGATGCTACTTTAATGACGGTGGAAGTCATAAGGTGGAATCGGAAAGGGAGAATTCATGCTTCCACACAGGCTGAGTCAGCTGGGGTGGAAGGCTGGCTGACTCAGCCTGCGTGGGATCTTGTTGGAGCTGAACTATCGCTTCAATCGGATTGTTTTATTATCTAATAATAAGCTTAGCTTCTGAATGATATCCTAATGATAATTGAAACACACGGATGTCTTTGAGGTATGAAAAGATTCCGTGAAATTAGGTGCAGGTCTAATGGTAGCTTATAAATTAAAGAATCGTACCAAACGCATAATTGATTTGTTAACTCTGAAATCATGGATTTATTTGAAGTTTTCTGCTCGATAAGCCCAAAATGGACGATTAGGCCGAAGTAGTTCTCTACCCTATATATAGTTAACGGCAGAAATTCACGAATATAGGAACGGATTTTTTTAACGAGTATATTATATCAATATTGTATTTCGATATGATCGGTAGCAACCTAATAAAACTGGACAACTTTAAAATCTTTAAAATAAATAATAAATTATGATGGCGAAGTGCTAGGACGATGAGAACATAAAGTTCACTATTCCCAGAGAAATTCCCATATAAAGTTCAAAGGGCCAGAGCAGTATGAGTTCGCATTCAAATAAACTCAAATTTTGCGAGAATAATCGGGACCTGATTTAGAACCGCAAAATCGTTATTTTGAACCACTCTAGTACGTATATAGGATTTCATCCATCATCGATTAACCTTATCTGCGTGAGAATCGGAACATCACATATCAAGGTGAATCCTAACGAATCTCATCTAAATACTTGACAAAACCCACTTTCTGTTGAGGTACACACGATCTAAGCCAAGCTAAGCGGCATTTGTCAAGTTTCGATTTATTGTGTCACGATAGCCGCATCACTCACCGATTGGTGGTGTTTTGTGTGGTAAACGGTGAACGGCGTGAAGTAGATTTTATACTTTGAATTGATGTTTCTTATTACGGAGGGTGTGTGTATTCACTTCGGTGCAGCACTAAGATGTATTCACACATTTTTTTTACTTGCTCTATCAAGGAGATTTCGGACATGTTCGGTTTATTGGACACAGCACATCACTTCTATAGGAGCAGTGTCTTGCCGGGAGTGTTTTAATATCGATGTTAAATAACTCCATCTGTTTCTATTCCCTTCAGCAAGCTTCACAGTTCCGACTGGTGCATTTCAATACGACAAAATCGTTATCCAACAATCAAGAGTTATGACGTAAGAATATTTCGATAGCTGCGTAGTAGTGCGGCAATGCAACACAGACTCGCTGGTGGTTTTTGGTGGAACACTTTTCTATTTATAGCATAGCATCGTAACGGTAAAAACCTTCAATGGATATATTTAAGATTATGAAAAAAAGATACAAACTCAACTGCTCACAGCACAACAAAATAGTTAAGGCGTTGTTGTTTTTTTTTCAGTCACAGACTTATGTATTTCCTAACTTCACACACGTGTATCTGAGCACTGTTAAATCAGTAGAATTTATTTTCCTGTGGCTCCAACGGCAGACCGTTCTTCTCTGCATACTCCAACCAGGAGCCGGCGTAGTTTTTCACGCTAAATTTGAACCAAAAAAAAACGCAATTAGGAAACCTGCTTACCAAAGAAATGAACTACCAAACATACTTAGTAAATCCCAGTTTAGAGGCAATGTTGGCAGCTTCTCCCGCGCGCACTCCGGAACGGCAGCTGAAGATGAGGGGACTGTCGGCAGCCGGTTTTGTACGTCCGTACTTGCTTTCGAACTCCTTCGGGCTGAGTTTCAACTCTTCACCCACGATGCTGACTGAAATAAGCTTCAATCACTTCTAATTTCCTAAATCAATGTTACGCAAAAGTTTAAACCTACGGGGAATATTGATGCTGGTCGGGATGGTTCCAGTGCCAGCCAGCTCATCCGGTCGGCGAACATCGATCAGCAGCACTTCGGGATGTTTGGGCAGAGCAACGATATCATCGTAGGAGGCCAGCAACGTGAGATCAATGCAGCTCGGGTCGAACTTATTATCGTCACATTTGTCACTGTAGCAACGGGTGGTTCCTACGATTAAGAGAATAGCCAACGAGGGCAGCAATGAGCTGGTAAGAGTCGACATTGTTCAATTTCCCCCAGATGAAGTTTGTTAATCTAATAGATCTACTCGACGAGAAAGGTGATTCGCAAATAATTCGCACGGGTGGGTTCCGCCGTATTAAATCCATTTTTAATTTCCCTGTATGGGTACCTGAAGGAAGTTAACCGGTTTACCACCCCCCCCATGTTCTACCGTGAAAACCTGAGCGATCGTCATTATTCGCATACTCACTCATGCTCGATGATCATCATTTTTTCGCTACTCACCGCGAATCGTCGTAGGATAACCTTGAAGTTGATCAACACTGCGAATACCACGATAAACACTGACCGGAGCGATGTTGCTCACTGATACGACGCTGTACGATCGCCCGTTTCTGGCGTTATGCACAAGACGCGATCCCGCGCGGAAACGTTGTGCCACGGTTCTCAACCCGTTTAGATTCATTTTTTGTTACCAAAAATAAAGCGATCAACACAAAATGGAACGCACCTACTTCGTCTGACAGCAGCTGATTAACTGCGTTGGAGAGTAGCCGAATTTCGGCAGGGATAAATACAATCATGTTTATTTACCTTTTCCTAAGATGTCGGCGTGATGTGTTGGTTAGGAGCTGCTCTCGGAAGCCGGTTATGCAATTCACGCTCAATTTATTGCTATTCCTGTGGAATGTTTCCTTTGAAATTGATATCCGCGTAGGCTCATAGCATGCATGCAGTCTTACCTGCGGTTGGACGCTGCAATAGCCGCAGACGGGACAGTTTCCAAAAGATGCGCAATACAATGTATCTAGTATCAAACGGGAACCACGCGTCGCTTTCTTTTTGTTTGCCTCTGTAGAAGTTGTTCAACCGGGGAGTTGTTTTCAAAAGGAATTCATACGATCTGATATGAACGTGTTGAATGTGTATCACGTTTTTTTACGTACATTGTTTGACATTGTCGCTTTGCATGTGTGATTATATATAATAAGCAGATGTAGTGGGTTGTGGATGGTAGAAGTGCTTGAATTTGAGGGGAGCTTCAGCTCGAAAGCTCATGAAAAGTTAGACCTGAGTTCATCTGAAAGCTTTTTTGATTTAGAATCACGATACAGTAGGGTGCTTCATTTTGGGAAAAGTTTGCTATTTTGAGTTAAGGTGTTTCCTCGTAAAGTCCGTTTTTGGATCACACCTCGCAATTTCAAGAGCACACATCTCAAGATCTACGAGGTGTATACATCTGAGAATTTCAGACATTCCTTGCTTCTCCGCAGCGAACAACAAGTAGTAGTTTCAGCTTCGTACATGATGTGATGTGCAAGGATTACCAATGTCTGTAGATACTTTACCGGTTATAAAGTTCTGCCTGATGGTTTGTTGCAGCAGGGTGAATCAGCTTCATTGAAGACCTTTAGAAGACAAAACGACCAGATGGCCATCTGTAATCACGTGACAAGGGACTGGCAAATCCACGAACCCGCGTCCAGTCGACAAATCCTTTGATTCCCTTAGGCTGCCCGCCAGTCAATTTCCGCTCGTGGCATGCAACTCCCAAAATCAAACACAGCTGTGATGAAACTGGTACACGATTTTTGGAATAAAGCAAAAGATCTCACCAAGAACGAAATTGCAAAGCGAGTAGGAGGGGGTGAATGTATGAGCCTCACTTTGGATGAGTGAACCAGCATCAGTAATAAACGGTTTATCAATGTCAATGTGCATTGCTTCGACGGGGTCATGTTCAATCTCGGGCTGGTTCGTGCTCATGGGTCTCTTCCGGCTGAAAAAATCCGTGAGGCTGTAAACACCTCAAGTTTTGGCTTACCACGGACAAATATTGCTTCTGCCACGCGGCAGCAAAGGAATGCGGAGGTGGTTTGGTTCAGCAGGGTTGGCTCGCAAGGAGGGCAGAGATTTTTATGCCAAGACGGCAACGAGGACGTTCAATTAGGAAGAATGCCATGAGTGCAGCGAATAGAACGACATTTCATGCTACGGAGCAGGAAGAATGGCTACATCCAAACTCTGAATGACTAAACGGCGGAAGTATGAAATGAACGGTCAAATCAAAGCAAATCCTATTGATGTCCTACAGCTCAGGCAGAAATAGACCGATAGTTGAATTGCGCTTAAAACATCAGATTAGATCTGCGCCAGAGTTCATAAGAATATGTTCCCCGATTTGTCTCCGACGAACTTGTTCCTTGGACTTGTTTATTACTCTCTCCCAACCCATGTTCCAAGAGTCAACCAAGCCAGAACGAGTGTTCATTCATTGCTGTATCCTCTAGCGCACGATGGTATGTGTGCTTATAGATTTTCCTTGTTGAAATTCGAGCAACATTTGCACCCAACTAAAAACCGCAATGTGTGTCCAAATCATTCTATCGAATCGAATCTGAGGAATTTCCTCACTCCCTAAACTTCAGTTTCAACATTAATCAAATCCCCCCCCCCCCTTTATCGCTCCCCCGCGGATTCCATCTATACAATAGGATGGCACCTGGGGCGCATCCTAGATTTGGTTTTCTGTGATTCCGATTGCAACATTGTAGTTAACGAAGCGGTGTCCCCATTGCTGGCTATTGATTTGCATCATCCACCGATTTTATTCTCCTTACCAACTCAATCCGATTGTGTTGACCGTGTGGAATCCCTTGATGCTGGTGAACATACGCTCGACTACTCAAAAATCGACTTCGTCATGCTCAACGAGTTCCTGATGAGCTGTGATTGGAGCAGTATTCTGGCAACAAATGACGTCAACGATATGGCAGCACAATTTTGCAACATAATTTGCAATTGGCTCACCGATAACACTCCAAGACGAAAACCTCCTATATCTCCTGCTTGGAGTTCTCCTCTCCTGCGGCTTTTGAAACGCGATAAAAATTCCTGGCAGCGTAAACTTCGCCGACATCGAACTTCTGAAACGAAACGCAACTTTCATCGCGCTTGCAACGCCTATCGTAAGCTTAATTCAACCCTATACAAGTCATATGTCTTGCGTGTCCAGACCAATTTACGTAGAAATCCCAAGAGCTTCTGGAAGTTTGTGAACTCCAAGCGAAAATCGTCGAATATTCCTTCATCCGTATTTTTTGGCGATTTGGAGTCTACTTCTATGCTCGAATCGTGTGATCTATTTTCCCGCCACTTCAGTTCTGCTTTTTCGGATTCAGCCGCCAACGCAGATGAAGTAGAAAGAGCGGCTTGCAATGTTCCTGAGGGTCTCATCGATTTGCGTACATTTGTGGTTAGCAATATGTATGTCGTTAATGATAAGGTATATAATTTCTCAGTGTGTACTCGATGTATTTTGTTTTTAACGCCTAATGCTATTTTTTTTTGCGCTCCAAGCGCTGTTTTCATTCATTCCAAATTCAGATCTCTGTAAGATAAGACACGAATAAAGTACGCGGTTTAGAATTCGTTAATTCCGGTGTTTTTATTCTCCGAAAGTAGTCCGCCCAATAGGTTATGGGCCCAGGAACGATTCCTGGTTGTGTTTTGGTCGAGTGAAGTGTTTTTCGGTCGTAAGTGCGGAAAAATGAGCTTGGAACGGGAGGAAACCATTCGTGTCGCCATTTTCGACGGGTCGAACTTTGTCGCGTGGAAATTCCGGATGCTCACCTTGCTGGAAGAGCATGAGTTGGTGGAGTGCATCGAAACGGAAGTGGGCGATGTGGCGGAGCTCAAGGTCGAGCCGGGCGATTCGGCGGAGGTTAGACTCACGAAATCCAAGGCATTGGAAAAGCGCCAGAAGCGGGATCGAAAATGCAAATCGTTGATAGTATCACGTATACACGATGACCAGCTGGAGCACCTTCAAGGACGTGAAACTCCCAAGCAGATGTGGGATGCGCTGGTGAGGATTTTTGAGCGGAAGAGCGTTGCGAAGCGGCTACACTTGAATCGCGAGATGCACGATCTTCGGTACACGGGAGGTTCGTTGCAGGATCATTTCATCAGATTCGATCGTTTGATTCGCCTGTATCGTAACGCTGGTGGCACGATGGATGATATTGATGTTGTTTGCCGACTGCTGTTGTCGTTGGGATCCGAGTACGAAGTGGTGGTGACCTCGATCGAGTCGCAGCCGGAGGAGCATCTTACAATGGACTTTGTGAAGTGCCGGCTGCTCGACGAGGAAATTAAACGGAAGAGCACAACGGCGACAAGTGGCGGTGTTAATGGCAATGTGAAAAGTGAAGCGGCTTTCTCTGGCGGTGCGCAGCGGAGACCAGCGAAGAAGAAGAAGATCTTCAAATGCTTCAGCTGTCAGAAGGAAGGCCACAAGGCGAGTGACTGCCCGGATAAGAAGAAGACCGAGAAGAAGTATTCCGGAAAAGCGCAGGTGGCTGAAAAGGACGATGACGGTGTGATGTTTCTGACCAGTGACAAAATGTCAAGCAACCAGAGCAAGATCCAGTGGTTCATCGACTCCGGTGCCACGGAGCACATTTGCAATGATCGGCGATTATTTTCGAAGCTCGTTCCGTTGAAGCAGCCGATGCGGATCGCCGTTGCAAAGAGTGGAGAGTGGGTAACTGCGAAGTACGCTGGTGATGTTCCGGTGTTGGCGGTGGTTGGCGGAAAAACTGTCAAAGCGACGGTGGCAGGAGCGGTTTTTATCCCGGAAGCGCGCTGTAATTTGTTTTCCATTAGCAAGATCGAAGCTGCAGGGATGCGAGTCGTGTTCGAGGACGGTAGAGTTGAAATCCAGCGAGGGTCGAAGGTAGTTGCCACCGGCCAGAGGCGTGATAAGCTCTACGAACTCAACTTTTACGCAGCAAAAGGTGAGTGCAGTTCCGTTTATTTCTCGGGTCAGATTAGTAAAGCGACAGAGTTGTGGCATCGTCGTTATGGACACCTCGGGGAGCGCAATTTGTCGTGCCTCATCAAGAATGGAATGGTGAATAACCTGAAAGAAAGCGGTAGCGATAAATCTATGGTGATTTGTGAGGCGTGCGTAGCAGCTAAACAAACGAGAAATCCGTTCACGCTGCAAGAAGAGCGGCGGTCGAGTCGGGTACTGGAGCTCGTACACTCCGACGTCTGCGGGCCAGTTACGCCGACAGGAAGGAATGGCCATAAGTATTTCGTCACTTTCATCGACGATTGGTCCAGGTTCACGGTGGTATATCTAATCCATTCGAAAGACGAGGTAGTTCGGCGGTTTGAGGAATACAAAGCGCAGATGACAGCGAAGTTTGGTGCGAAAATTTCCCGTTTTCGTTTCGACAACGGCGGGGAGTATACCTGCAAGGAAATGCGATCGTTTTGCCAGCGAAAGGGTATCAAAATGGAATTCACTGTGCCCTACTGCCCTGAGCAAAACGGCACTAGCGAACGGATGAACCGTACGTTAGTTGAGAAGGCTCGTTCAATGATGTTCGATTCCGGAATCAACCGCGATTTCTGGGGAGAGGCGGTCCAAACTGCTGCGTTCTTGGCGAATAGGAGT